CTGCCCTGTGTGGTGCGGTCCTTGGTCTGGGCGCCTCCCTCTCAGCTGGATGGGAACCTCTGTGCGGCCACAGGGTTGGGTCCATGACTCATCGTGAGTTCTCGTGCATTTGTTCTTCCATCTGAGAGTCCTTCCCGGCCACCCAGTTGTGTGGTCGCTAACGCTATACACTACGTATACTATATACAGGATGGAGACCCGCCCGCCCAGAAAATGTAGCTGTGGTCCCCACTGTTGGCCTGCTGATAACCAATGAATCCTTCTGAAGTTTCGTGGTCTTAGTTCAGGGGTGATATCATGTCTGTCATTTTCACTTGAAGCTACTAAAATGTTTTGTTCTGGGCTGGTGGCATTAGGGACTTCTGTCATTCGGGGCTGCAGAGGTAGACTCGGACCTGTTTAAAGGCCAGCCGGATGGCTGTTGCAGAAGTGCTGCCTTGCTCCAGCCTTCACCCCCCGTGGCACAGCCGCCTTCCCGGACACCCGGTCAGGGAGGAGACCCTCCTGCTTCTTCCGCCTCTCCCCGTCCCTCCCTCCCTCCCTCCCCCTTTCCTCCCTTCCTTTCAGCATCTTTGTGGAGACATCATTTACCTGTCCTCTATTTCACTCACTTAAAGTGTACAGTTCAGTGTTTTTAGTCTGTGGAGTTGGACGATCATCACCATAGTCAATTTTAGAGCATTTGCCTCAGCAGCCGTGACTCCCCAGTCCCTCCTCCCCAGCCCCTGGCTGCCACTCATCTGCTTTCTGTTTCTGTAGACTTGCTTATTCTGGACATGTGCTTATTCATGTGTGTGGGATCATATGAATGTGGTCTTCGTGACTGGTTCCTTTCGCTGCGCGTGATGTTTCCAGGCTTCATCCACGTGGGAGCGGCTGTCAGCCCTTCATTCCTTGTTGGAAGCTGACGGTATATTCCGGCGTGTGCCTGGTCACCCACCGATGGGCCTCGGGACTGTTTGCGCACTTTGGCTCTTCGGAGTTGAAGCCGTTGCATCCTCTTCCCGGCCCCAGAGTCCCCTCCACCCCCAGCCCTCCGCTCCCATCCTATTCTCCGTTTGTTTTCATCACCATCATGAGCTGGGAGTTTTGACCACCATGTATGTATCCGACACGGTAGATAGTTTCATTTTCTCGTTTTAAAAACTTTTTATAGATGACATCATACTGTGCATATTCAAGTTACTTTTCAGTGGTAGGCTTGTAAGTTCACCGATCTTGGTTCTTGTAGTTCCTTCGTTTTTATTGTAGTTAGTATTCCATTATAGGTGTATGTTCCAGTTTGTTTATTTGTTACTCAGTTGATAATGGACAAAGGGATAATGTGAATTCATTCTTCAGTTGATGATGGATAAAAGTTTTTCTTAAATTTTTTTTTTTTTTAGCGTTAGCGACATCGCTGAACCTGCCTCCTGCATCCTTACACAAGGGGTTTTCATGGCGTGTGCCTAGAAGTGGCATTATGTCGTGTGTATCTGCTTTTTGTGAGGAATCACTGGGGTCCTCTTTAAAGCAATGAGTTACTGTGGTGTTTTTAAGCAGTACAATTCATTAAAAAGTTTATTGGTGAACATATTTTTTAAAGAATGATTTCATGATGTGCTACTTATTCTTTTAAAATGGCTTTAGATGAAGCCTGTTTTTCTTTTTGGCTATGCAAGACCAGATAAAAATGCAATTTTAATAAGATAAAACGAGATGCCTTTTAGTCTGAGCTTGAACTTTGCTGGAACATTTTCTGCTCAATAAACACAAGTGGTGTGCCCATGAAGAATTAATGCATTGGCGCTTTCCTGGGAGGCAAGGGGCCTGCAGCGTGTGGTAACACTGCAAGACCCATGGAAATGCCTTGCACATAGAGGGCAGAGGCCCACTGCCTGCTGGTTTTGAGCCCTATTCGTGTACTGAGACATAAGGGAAGGGTGCAAGCCAGCAAGGTAGGTGCATAGTACCGGTGAATGCTGTCTGTAGGTCACTTGGCGGTAATCAAGCTGCTGCCATTTATGGCTGTCTCATTTCTTACACGTTCTTATTCCCATTTCCGAGACGAGGAAGCTAAAGCCTAGAGCAATTACCCAGGCCCTTTGGTTCTTAAAACAGGAAACCTTCTACCAAGGTCGGGGAAGCCTCCAAGAGATTTCTGGAAAGGGACCACGACAGAGGGGTTGTGCATGACCTCCGTGGGCTGATACTCTTTCTTTCCAACAACAACAACAAACCCCCAAACCCTCCTGGATTCTGTGGGTCAGACTGGTCTCTTTTCCATGGTGTCACTGGGAAGGTTCAGAGGCTGGGAGGGAAATCAGAAGAAGGCTGGTGACTCACGCCTGTCGAGGTTGATGCCGGACATCATCAGCTGGGACACCCCCTGGAAGCTGTGGTTCTAGTGCTTACATGTGGGCTTCTTCAAAGCCTGGTGGCTGGGTTCCAAGAGAGAACCCAAGAGAACCAGGTGGAAACTGTGCTGCCTTTAAAAACTTACATCTTCATTGAGACTCACATATAATAATAGTTCACCCATTAAAATTCACGTACAACACCATTCCCTCATTTAAGGGGTGAAAGTCAGTGGTACTGCGGTGTATCCGTTGCCACAGTCAACGTTAGAATATGTTTGTCCCCTCAGGAAGAAGCCCTGTAGTCTTCTGCTGTCACCCCAGTCTCCCATCCTCCACCCAGGCAACCACTAGTCTCCCTTCTGTCTCCCTTCTAGACATTTCATGTCAGTGAAATCATAGAATAGGTGTTTTTTTTTTAAGATTTTTATTTGTTTGACAGAGAGGGAGTGTTAGTGAGAGCAGGAACAAGCAGGGGGAGTGGGAGAGGGAGAAGCAGGCCTCCCTCGGAGCAGGGAGCCCGACGTGGGGCTCGATCCCAGGACCCCGGGATCAGGACCTGAGCCGAAGGCAGACACCCAACGGCTGAGCCACCCCGGCGCCCCAGAATAGGTGTTTTTTCATGACTGGCTTCCCACGCGTAGCGTGATGGTTTCAAGGTTCTTCCGTGTTACAGCGTGAGCTAGCACTTTATTTTTTAGCTGATGACTATTTCACTGAATAATATTCCAGTTTACCATGTTTTTGTTGTCCAAGAACATTATAAACGCCAATTCATTTTTTTTTATTTTTGTAGGTAAACTTAAAGGTTCGTGCGAGTTTGGAGTCCAGTGTGCTTGTCTTTGCCTGCCTCGTACTCCTCAGAACCCCGTCGCAACGTGGGGGCTATCGAATGTCCGTTAAATTTTGCTGAAACATTTTAGGATATAAAAGGGAACATTTTCTGTAATTAAAATGTTGTGTCACAGGCACAGACATGGAGGAATGAATGGAAAACTGAAAAAATGCCCCAGCATAGAGTAATCTCCTGCGTATTGAAGACAGTGTCTGCAAACCAGTAGGGAATAGGATAGGTTTTTAACCAATGTCATTGGAGCAGTGGATTATTTTTTAAAAAAGTTTTCTACAGGCGCCTGGGTGGCTCAATCCTTAAGCGTCTGGCTTCGGCTCAGGTCATGATATCAGGGTCCTGGGATCGAGCCCCACATCGGGCTCCCTGCTCGGCGGGGAGCCTCCTTCTCCCAATCCCACTCCCACTGCTTGTGTTCCTGCTATCGCTATCTCTCTCTCTGTCAAAAGAAAAAAAAAAGTTTTCTACAGTCTGTAGCAAAATAAAATAAATTCTAGGTGACTCAATACTCAAGGGTAAAAAATAAAACCACACAAGTGTGGAACTAGGACACAGTTGGAGATTTATGCCATCTCAGTAAGTCGGCTGGGCTGAATGTTCGTGCGCTCCCAAAACTCACAGGAAGCCCTACCCACCAGACTGAGGGTGTTAGGAGGTGGGGGTTTTGAGGGGGTGAGGAGGTCCTGAGGCTGGAGTCCCCCAGGGTGGGATTGGAGCCTTTATAAAAGAGACCCCAGAGAGCTTCCCTGCCTCTCCGCTGGGTGGGGACGCAGCAGAAGGCACCAGCTGAGGCCCTCACCAGATACCAAATCTGCCAGCACCTTGATCTTGGACGTCCAGCCTCCAGAACTGTGGGGAATAAATGTCTTTGTTTATAAGCTGCCACATGCGTGGTATTTTTGTTATAGCAGCCGGGATGGACTAAGACAGTTGGGGGTGGGCCTTTTTAAGTAGAGTCCTCAAAGGAGAGCCCCGTGTAACGCATAAAAGTGAGGTTGACTTAACCACAGAGACCTTTAAGCTTCCATAAGCCAAGAGGATGGCTTTGTCACCTGTCTTTCACCATTCTGTTCTCTTTTGGTTTTCTCCTGCTGCTGTAACAAATCAGCATAACCCTATTGGCTTATAATACACACTTGCTGTCTTATAGTTCTGGTGCTGGGCTAAGATGAAGGTGTTGGCAGGGCTGCAGTGCCCCCGAGACCCGTGCTCTTTCTCATCTTCCTGCCGTGCCCGCGTTCTCGGGTGGTTGATATCTCCTGCTCATTTCTCATGGTGGCATGAGGCTGGGGAACCTCTAGGCCTCACATGTGTGTTCCAGGCAGATGAGGAAGGGCCCACACTGCTGGTGACTGAGCTGCGCTGGGTCACAGGGCCTCCCCTGGCTGGACGCCCCCGCCGAGGAAGGGGCGCGGGTGCGGCCACTCAGTGGACCGCCCTGGTGTCTGCCACGGGGGCTGTTTTGTTTCCATCTGTTTTCCAAGTTTACTCTGATGAACAGAAGACTTTATTTTTAAATTTAATTTTTATTTTTTTAAAAAAGATTTTACTTAATTAGAGAGGGAGAGAGAGAGAGAGAGAGGGCACGAGTGGGGGAGCAGCAGTGGGAGAGGGAGAAGCAGGCTTCCCGCGGAGCAGGGAGCCCGATGTGGGGCTCGATCCCAGGACCCTGGGATCATGACCTGACCTGAAGGCAGACGCTTAACCGACTCAGCCCCCCGGGCGCCCCCAGAAAACTTTTATAATAAAATCATTAAGTCTTTAAAAAACACATTTATCTTCTTTTTGTGATTCTGCATTCTGTCTTTGACGAAATGGCAGCAGATGGGAATTTCCAGACGGGCATTTCAGCATTAGTTCGTAGTCCTGCCGCTGGCACACGGTCCGGGAGCAGAGGCTGCTGGAACTGGGCGATGCTGAGTGGCTCCCAGCTCCCAGCAGCCTCGTCGGCAGCGGCGCCTGAGGCCCTGCCGATGCGGTCAGGGCTGCGGCTCCCTGGGCTGAGGCCCATTTGCCCGGCAGGCTGAATGCCCCGTTGTGTGTGTGGCGTGGACCTGTGTGGCGCCATTCATCCCTTCCAGACGGGCCCTCGGGACCCGTGGCAGCTGAGGGAGAGTTGCTGCTCAGGCGTGTAGGTAACTGGGAACTGGTCCTTTTCCCGAGTTAGTGTGGGCTCTTGAGGAAGTTGGAGAGAAGCTAATCGGTTTTCCTTTCTTTTTCAACAGCATCCGGCATGTGTACGGCGCCCAGCACCCCCCCTTCGACCCACTGTTACACGGCACGTAAGTGAGGCCTGTGGTCATGCTGCATCACGCACGCGCCTGGGCGTCCTGGTGACCCGCCGGCCTCCTCGGGGTCCTGAGGGGAGCAGCGTGGTCTTCCCTCGAGCAGACACGCGTCAGGGCCTCGCACGACTGGTCCTCCGGACAAGGGCAGAGGAGGAAGCCCAGCCCAAAGTGGAGGAGAGCACGAAGCTGGTACACCCTTAGCTGACGGGAGGGCCTGGCCCCGGGCCTGTTCTCGGTGGTCAGCTCACTTCCCTTGCCCTCCACTGCACGCTCTGCCCCTGTGTCTGGCTCCTCCACCAGAGCCACGCAGGGGGCTGGTGTGACCCCCCGCCCGTGCTGGCGGGTGTCACTGGGCCCCCCGCAGGGGCTCTTGCTCTAGTGGTGCTGTGTCGCGTCTGCACGCCGAAGGACAGCCGCTCCTGCCCCCGCCGCCCCCACTGCTGCCTTAGGAGGTTTGCGGGCACTGGCCCGTGTGAGGTTTGGGGACTCCCTGTGAATGCCGTGACTGCGGTGCTGGGGTTCCTCCTGAGTGGCTTCTGTCACTGAGCAGAGACTGCTCAGCGGTACTGCCCCTCGAGAGCCTCTCCTTCCTGCCCCCGAATCCTAGGAGTCCTCTTCTGTTTTTTTTTTAGGATTATTTATTTGAGAAAGAGAGCGAGGGCACAAGAGTGGGGGGGTAGGGAGGGGGGCGAGGGAGAAGCAGACTCCCCACCGAGCAGGGAGTCCGATGTGGGGCTCGATCCCAGGACCCCGGGATCACAACCTGAGCCGAAGGCAGACGTTTAATCGACTGAGGCCCCTGGGTGCCCCAGGAGTCCTCTCTCGGATGCCTCTTTGGGTTGTGCTTGCTCTTCACCCTCAGCTCAGTTGACACTGGAAGCTTGAATGTGCACCTTTCATCCATGGGCTCCTTTCTGACCGGTCGTGGGGTGAGTCCGCTCCAGCCTCCGAGGGGAGAGCTGAAGTCTGCCTTTGCTTTGCAGCTTGCTCAAGGGCGCACCCAAGGCGCCCGCCACACCCGTGAAGGCCAAGAGCATCAGCACCTTCCCGGAGTTTGAGAGCAACACCAGCGACGCCTGGGATGCCGGCGAGGACGATGACGGGCTCCTGGCCGTGGCAGCCGAGAGCCTGAACACCGACGTGGTCATGGAGACGGCCCACCGCGTCCTGCGCAACCACAGCCAGCGGCAGGAGCGCCGCAAGCCGCAGGAGGCGCCGGGCCCCGAGCAGGAGCCACAGCCTTCGGCAGAGCCTCCTTATGTCCCGAGCGGTGACCTCGGCTGGTGAAGTCTGTCAGCGAGAGCCACACATCCTGTCCTGCAGGTGGGCGGGGGCGCGAGGAGATGACGGGCAGTGCTGCGAGGGAGAGGGGCTGGAGGCCTCTCGGTGCGGGAGGTTAGCGGGCGTTCCGTCCTCTTTGCCACAGGAGCTCGTGCCCTTGGAAGACCTTGAGGTTGTGATCCACGTGCCCACAGGCCTTCCCAGGCAGGAGAAGCCGTAGACTTTTCTTTGTGTCCCCAGCTGAGTGCTTCTCTCCTCCGGGTGGAGGGTGTGGTGTGTGGCTTTCGTGGCCTGGCTGTGAGAGGCCCACAGTGAGCACCAGGCCCCAGGGGACTGTGTCTCCCTTCTAAGTGTGCCCCGGTTGTCCCAGGGGGACATTTCCAGCTCAGGGGCCAGGCCAACTGCACGTTCAGAGGCTGCACCTCCTCCGGCAGCTTCCAATGACACCCCCTCCCCCGCCGGGACACCTGCACGTGGCTCAGAGTCTGTAGGGGGCAGAGTCTGGGGTGTGGAATGACTGCCTCCAGGTCATAAACTCAAGGATGCGATCAGCGCCTGTCTTGTACCCCGTGCCTGGTGCTCAGTAGCCTTTCTGGAGATGGCTCTCAGTAGTTTTGCTTTTTGTTTTTGGGGGTGTCTATGATGTAAAACAACACAGTGTTTGATGAGACTCTGTGATGGGCCAGACTCTTAGGGCTTGGGGTGCCCCCAGGAAGTCCCTGGCCTGGAGTGTGTGTTCTGGTGAGGGGGACAAGCACCGACCTACACGTTGGGTCAGTAAGGAGGCCTGGAGCGTGCGGGGAAGAGACAAGCGCCCTGGGTCGAGACAGAGGTGGGAGGTGGCGACAGCAGCCTGGACCTGGGGCGTAATCTTCAGTCAGAGCGTCCAGATGCCCTCCTGAGAAGGTGACACGTGAGCATCTGTGAGGTGAGGCAGTGAGGCGTGGGGAGCTGGTGGCAGAGGGGCCGGCCTGCACCGCGGCGGACTCACGGCCTCCCTCTCCCAGGGTCTCTGGGGGTCAGGGGGACTGCCCCTTGTTTACAGAGGAGAGAAGAGGGCATCGGGCAGCCTCAGCTTGCCCTGCTGGGACCACGGAGCTGGCGTTCATCCCCCTGTCTAGTTTTCAGAAACCCTTCCCGGGAGCTGACTAATGTTTGGAACATCACACGTCTTCGTGGGTGAGAACGCTGTGAATTAGTTCCTTTGACCAGTTTTCATATTGGAATCTGAACTATTTTTCTCCAAAATAGGCTGAACTTCAAAGTATTTGAGTTTAAAAATGAAAATCTGGTTAGGGCTTCTGCGAGTGGGTCGGGGTTCCCCGAGACTGACGCATCCTATGCCGATTACCGCCTGCGCGCCCCAGCCGGGCAGTACCCTCAGCCTGGGTGCCTGTTCAAGTTGGCAGGTGCCCCGGATTCCTCTGCCCTCTGCTGTGCCCCACGCCTCTGGGGCCTGGGTAGAGCCTCTGTGACACCTGCCATCTGAGCAGTTGCTGGGGGGCGGGCCTCAGCACCCGTAGAGGTGGGGGCCCATCTCGGCTGAGCAGGCAGGCTCCTGTTCTCTCAGGCCGTGGGGCTGTTGCGAAGAGCACCACAGGCCGATGGTGCATGAGCAGCAGAAAGTTAGGTCTCCTCGTTCTGGAGGCCGGAAGTCAGGTTAGGCGGCCAACATGGTTGGGTCCTGGCTCTCTTCGGGGCGCAGACAGCTGCCTTCTCATAGTATCCCAACATGGGGGAGACTAGAGAGGGGAAACAGGCTGTCTCGTGACTCCTCAGGAGCACCGATCCCATCAGGGGACCCCACCCTCCTGACTTCCTCTAAACCTGAGGCCCTTCTTCCTAACACCGTCCCGTCTGGGGAAGGACTTGCGCATACGGACTTTGGGTCCTCACAGCATTCAGCCCATGGCCAGGTATGCAGTTGGGCTGCATCCTGCCAGGGTGGGGAGCCTTGGGGTGGCCTCCTCCTGTAAAAGCCAGGTGAAGGATGCCCCAAGCGGCTCATGCTGGGGAAGGGGCCGATTACTGTGTTTGCCTCTGCCTCCACCCGCTTGCGCATCAACCATCTTTGCTTTGCTTTCTGAGCAGGCTTTTTGTGAGCAGCTCATTTCATGATAGCAGCTAGTGTTTATCCATCGCTTACTGTGGGGCAGAGACTGTCTCGGGCCCTCGTCATGAACAGATCCCTCTGACTTTGCAGCCAGTCTAGGAGAGAGCTTACGGGGGAGGTATAGGGAGGTCACGTGGCTCGCCCAGCATGCTGAGCAGTGGGGTAGGGTTCAAGTCCAGGGCGTCTGAGGCCAGGGCCTGCTGCTAGCTGCTGACCTCCCCACAGAGAGCAGGGCCTCTTCGCTGGTGATGCCGCCCCCAGGGGACATGAGGTCCTGTTTTAGGACCTTTCCTGTTAACATCTGAGGCAGGGAGTGTGTGCTCCTGGCATGAAGTAGGCAGAGACCAGGGTGCCTGGCCCCCAGGGGACTCTCTGGCCCGACCGTGCACAGTGCCAAGGGGGAGAGGGCCGCTCTGGAGCCCGAGGTGGCCTCTCAGGGAGCCGACCCCACGGGTGGCTGGCAGTGGTGCGCAGAACTCGTGGGCCTGTGTTCAGTTCCCTTGGTGGGCTGTTAGTCGTGGGGATGGCTTACTCGGTGTTGGCGCTAAGACGACCACGTCAGCCCTCATTCTTACTGGGCTGGGCCTGGCGCAGATGTGTTGACTGGCAGGCAGTCTAGTGGGGAAACACAAGGATCTGAGTCTTTCACCTCCGTGGGTGGAATGGAGCCTTGGAGTGATGGACAGGACCCAGAAGCACCCACGGGTAGAAGTCCCAGTTCAGTCTTGTTGAGGAGGGCCAGGACGTGTCAGGGAAGGCTTCAGGGAGGAGGTGATGTCTCTAAGGTTACCGGTAGGGTGAGGCTCCAGGCTTAGGAGGTGGGGCCATCCCAGCCGAGGGGAGGTGCCGGGTGGGCTGGGCTGGCTGACTGCACACCTCATCTACGTGGTTTGCAAGTTCCCCCAAGGCAGGGACCATGTCCCATTACCTTTGTTTCCCTTTGGGGTCCTGTGTCATTACGTGAATGTTGCTGAGCTAAACTGAGGTGTCTTCAGGGCCTGGTGACCGCGGGCTCTCCCCTCCATGTTCTGCCCCACTCTTGTCCCTGCACCGGCCCCACAGCCCAGGGCCAGGCCAGGCCTCTGTTGAGGTGAGGGACCTGTGAGTGCCATTTCATGTGACTGTGCTCCTCGGAGCGGAGTTGTGTTTCTGGGGCCTGGACGCTGTGTTTCACGGGGCCCAGTCTGATCAGAGTGCTGCCTGCCCTTCCCACTGCCGGCATTGTGTCGGTGCCTGTCCCTTTATGGTGCGCCACCGTGGGAGCTCACGTCACCCCACACAGCGTCCACAGGGCCTGCTGGCTGCCCTCGCCTTTGGCCTTCAGCCCTGGGTAGATGGCAGCCTGAAAGTTCCGGGATGCTGCAGCAGGGGTCTCCGGCTGGCCTTCCCCGCGCCTCCTGCTTACCTTTCAACTGTCCTGACTTTCTTAATCAGCGTCTGAGGTATCTGTACCTTTGTATCTGAAGTCAGATGCCCTTTGCTTGGTCTAGGGTGCCGCTGGCGTAATGGGGAGCCTGCGCCTTTGGCTGCGAAGGGCTCAGTGGGCGTGGCTGGGGAGGACTGTCCATCGCTGATGGGGACTGAGCTGCAAGTGGGTCCTGGGTGGACACTGGCTGCCCCGGAGGGGGACACGGATGTGTTTTCCACTTACAGTAGCAGGGAGACCTGCTGTTGACCTTCCTGCTTCCTCGGGGGGCAGGGGCCATCACTGTGCCTTGCAAACCCTGCCCGTCCCATCTTAGAGGGGGACCGGATGTGTGCTCTGCTCAGGACGACGTGGTCCTTACATGTCGGAGTAGATCACAGGGATGCTCTCTAAGATGGCGGAGAAGTAAAACTCAGCACGTTTGGTTCCGCGTTAGAACGAGGAATCCCTCCTCCCGCCCATCGTCTTTCCTGAGGAATCATGACGCACAGCGGAGTGGCAGATTCCGAGGGCGGGGAGGAGGGGGTCTGAGCATCGCTGCCCCGGGCCTCCCGGAGGGCAGGCCAGTGGGGACACCTCCTGTAAGCGAGGGGTCAGCCCTGCGGAGGGGCTGGGACTTGCTCTCACCTCGACGCGCCCACCTCTACAGGCTTTTCTGGAAGCTTAACTGGGCCAGACACTGCTCCTCTGTAGCCTGAGGGTTTCTGTGTGAAGCCTTTCCGGGCCTCGATTTTAGGGTAATGAGTCAGCTCTGCGGGAAGGAGGGGGCCGGTGGGAGTCTGACAGCAGCGGCCAGGAGCCGGCATGTTTTCTTCACTTTGTTTGGTTCCCGCCCCATCTCCTGGAGTTGGTTTTTTCCTCTACTTTAAAATTCAGTTCTGGGAGATGTGACCATTCAAGGGTATTTAGACCTGGGGGTGTACAGCCTGGTGCTGCCTGTTCCTGTGGGCCCCTCGTTGGTCCCTGGTGGCTCTTTCTGAGTGGGTGTTGGGCCTTGGGCTCTTTTCTGTGGCTCTTCCTGGTCCGGGTTCCTGGATTTAATGCACGGTTTCACTTCGGCCCTGTGTGTCCCTGTCGGTGGGCCTTTGTGCGTGGTGGTAGGTGGTGCCCTGGGGCGGGGGGTGCTGGGCAGGCCTGCAGCCTGCTGCCCCTCCCCTGCTTGCATGCGCTCTAGCTTCCTGTGCTTTCTCTTGGTGATGGTCCCTGCCCGCCTCCCTCATGGGGCTTGGGGAGATCCAAGGGGTGCAGTGCCTTTGTGGGCTTCATGCTCCTCCACGTGTGGCTCGGTGGCTTCCTTCTGTGCTCAGGCCCAGGTGAGCCCCACAGGCACCAGCAGATCTTTGGGTTGTGTCACCTGGGCAGGCCTGCTAGCAGTGGGGGAGCCGGGGGGGTCTGGAGTTTTCTGGTTGTCGTTTTGCTTTTGTGTGAGGCACGTCTGTTTTCCCAGGGAGTAACGCTCTACCAATAAGGCCAGTGGGCTTCTTCGGTGTTCACTAGTTTCACTTTATTGCCCCGGTCACGCGGGTCTGCACTGGCCGGTTAGGGGAGGAGGGGATGGCTGTGGCACGGTGGCGTTCCCGAAGGGCAGGTGGCGCGGGTGGGAGCCTTCTTACTGGGGAACAGGGCCGTAGGGGGGGGGGTCCAGGAGGCCATCCTCACCCCCTGCGCGCTCTCTCCCCAGACAGCGCCGGTGACACTGCTCCTCTGCAGCGGTCCCAGTCTCTCCCGCACTTGGTGGCGGCCGCCGTGGGTGGCACGTCTGACCCCAGCGCCCTCAGCAGCTCAGCGTTAAGTGAACGAGAGGCCTCCTGGCTCGACAAGTTCAAGCAGCTCCTTGCCGGCCCGAACACAGACCTCGGTGAGTCCCCCGCTGGCGGAGGGCACGTGCACCTGCGCCACCACGTGTGGTTTACTTTGTCAGAGGGCGATGTGTTTGTGCCGTCCTGCGCGAGTCACAGAGATGAGCCATTTGTCCTTGAGGTTTACTTCAGCTGTGTGTTGGTCATGGGCTTCCGGGGCCATTGATCCGGTATTTTCTGTTCTGTTCTATTTTTTAATGCTCCGATTGAACACCTTTGGCTTCTTGGGGCTGAACTGGTTTGCTCCACAGGACTGGCCAGCTTGGTGTCCTTGCTTTTCAGAGTCTTCGTGGGGACACAGAGCTGGTGACCGGGGTCCTGAGTGCTGCTGACTTTACACCTTCCTTGGTGTAAAGTGTGGGATAGGCCGTGAACACCCTGGGAGCCCAGGCGGGGCTGGGGTGGGAGGGCCAGCAGGCCGTACAGTCAGCGAGGGATCAGCCCTGCGGAGGGGCTGGGACTTGCTCTCACCTCGACGCACCCACCTCTACAGGCTTTTCTGGAAGCTTAACTGGGCCAGACACTGCTCCTCTGTAGCCTGAGGGTTTCTGTGTGAAGCCTTTCCGGGCCTCGATTTTAGGGTAATGAGTCAGCTCTGCGGGAAGGAGGGGGTCGGTGGGAGTCTGACAGCGGCGGCCAGGAGCCGGCATGTTTTCTTCACTTTGTTTGGTTCCCGCCCCATCTCCTGGAGTTGGTTTTTTCTCGGGGGTCACCATGGCCGTGGGGCCGCTCTGCCACCAGGCTCTGAGGCGGGTGCTCGCCTCCAAGTCCATTTGCTGGGCTTCCCCTCGAAGCTGCGTCCTTTCCTCGGTACGTCTCTTCTTTGCGGAGTGCCACGCTGCATCGCGCATCTTGCTGGCTGCGGGGGCTCTCCGGAAGGTGGGATGTGGCCGCGGTCACGAGATCACGCATGGTGGAGGGTGGGTGCCAGGGTGGCATGGAGGGCTGGCGCGCCTCAGCCCCAGTGCCCCGCTCCGCCAGCAGGTGGCGCGTGAGGCACGCGGCTGGGCTGCCCAGCAGGGAGGCGGGCGGAGGCGGAGAGAGCATGGAGCTGAAGGATAGGCCGCGTCCCTGAGGATGCTGCTCCCCTTGTGGGTGCAGAAGGGTTCCTTCCCGCGAGTTTCTGCGTTTTCATTTTCCTGATTGATTTGCTCACGCACACGTAAGACAGTCACGCGGCACCAGAGGATGTGCGGTAAAAACGTGTCGCTCTCCTCTTCCCCAGGCCTGCTTTCCCTCCTTCGCGTGATTCCAGGTGTCTTCTTCCAGGGACAGGAAGGGAGGCCTCTCGTTCTCTTAACGCTGAGCTGCTGAGGGCGCTGGGGTCAGATCACGCACATGACGATGCACGTGACGTCTTAAACTTTTTATTTTGATGTAATTTCAAATGTAGACGAAAGTTGCAAGAACGGTACAGGCGAGTCCTGTCTTCACCAATCGTTTGTACTTTGCCCCGTCTTCATCCTGTGCGTGTGCCTGTGTGTCTGCGTGCTTTCCCCGAACCGTTTGAGTCCGTTGGAGACCCTGGACCCCTGGGCCCCTGAGAGCACCACTGTCTGTTTCCCAAGCACAGAGACACCGTCAGAACATTGCACAGCGAGATGGTGCGCTCAGCTCATCCGCGGTGCACATTCTCTTCCTGCCAGTCGCCCCAGTGATGTGCGCAGTGTGTGTCGCCCCGCCCGTCCTCCCCGTCAGCCAAGGGGGTCCCAGCGTGCACCGTGTTCCCGGGCGCCAGGGCGTTTGAGGAGGGCAGGCCAGCTGTTGTGCGGCGCCCCTCAGCGGGGGTGTCTCGTATCCTCCTGATGAGATTCAGGCCGGTCGTTTGGCAGGGATGTCGCCTATGAGGTTTGTGTTGTCTGTCACCGTGGCGGGAGGCCACGGGGCGGGTTGGCCCTCGGGTTCAGGAGGGAATGCGATGACTGGCGAGATGGCGGCTGTCAGGTCCTGCACGGGGACGGGAGGCGGACGTGACTCTTCTGTGGTAGCTCAGAAGTCGCGTGTGGAGCGGCGCTTCGGGGTCCGTGCATCTGTGCATGTTTCCCCCCACGCGTGGTGGTGCTGCTCTGCCCCCCACGTTAAACCTCACAGCGTCTTTCCCGTGGTAGCGCTAGAGACGCGCGCGGCCCGCACGGGCTGTGTGCCCGGGACTCCTTTACCGCCCCTCCGACGGGCACTTCGGTTCTTCCCAACTTTGTGTCACGGCAGCGGGCTTGGACCTGTGATCCTCACCCCGCTCTGGTGACTAGCGATGGGCATCGAGCGTCCCGAAACGTGGGTCAGGGAGAGGAGGAGCTGGGGTGGAAATCTCACCAGGACGCTGGGAAGTCAGGTGGATCGGGCGCCAAGGAGTCTAGTCGTGGGGTTTGAGCCCGTCCCTTGGCCACTTGCTTTTCCAGCCCGCCAACACACCTGTGTCCCGAGGCAGTGTGGGGAGGTGCCAGAGTGTGGGGAGGGCAGAGGTTCTGGGACAACTGCTGGCTGGGAGTGCGGGGCGGTGTTCTCCAGCCCCGTGACTGGAGCAAGCCTGGAGCGCTTCTGGGGTCCTCGGTCGCCTGCCCAGTGGTGCTGGCTGTGCTGAGGGGGCACACCCGGGGAGGGGATGCATACGGAGTGTTTAGGAGCGGGTCCAGCACACAGTGAACGCTGAACGGTGCTACTCATCTGCCTGATTCGTTTGCGTTGGCCTCTTTACCCCTTACCTTGATTTTCAGAGCACCGATGCACGTGGTCGCTGTGGTCACTGCCGAGTCAAGGTGGCTTGCACGTGTCCTCTTGGTTGAGTTAAGCGGTTTCTGACAGTAGGGGGCACGGAGGTAGTTGGTGAAGACAAGATACACTGATAGGAATTGCAGTTCTGGGTCAGGAGCTGAGCCCCCGTTAGTCTTCTGGTGGCCTTTGTCAGTGGACTAACTTGTGGACATTAAAATCCTACTTCAGAACAAAGCTTTCAGGACTCATGGGGAAAGCGGCTATGCACGGGCAGGAGGAAAGGTTAACATGTAAAAATAAGATTCTTTTGTTGGGTTGGTGCCGTTACGAGTGTTTTCTGTCTTTTGCATTCTGTTTAAGTATCAAATCTCACACCAAAAAGCTTTCAAAGTTAAACAATTACTGGATTTGTATTTAGTGGCAGGAGAAAACACAGCCAGTAAATTGCCTGTTTTTATAAGGCATTTAAGATAGCCTTGGAAGACAGTGGAATATATTATCTCCACGTTACATAAAAGACATAAGTGGCAAATATTTGCCAATGTTGGAGAAGCAAATCACTGATGTGAGAAGTGCCCACAGAAATGATTCTACCTGCTGAATGTCATCTCGTCGGCGGAGAGCTGTTTTTCTTTGTTTAGCTTGTGCTCTGTTATGAGCCTGGGGATGAAAGTAGCAAATAGAACTTAACAGCTCATTCTGCTCTTAGCATTGACTTGATATTTACTCGTGCAAAAGGCTGCTGCTTTGAAGCCCAAGAAAATGACACTTGGGGACGTTCATTTTTATCGCGCGCGTCTGTGCGTGGGAGCGGGACTGGGCCGAGGGCAGAACATGCGGTCCGGAGGCCCACAGAGCCGCCCGGTCTCAGTGGTGGGGCTCGAGGACATGGGGTCTCTGGGCCTTCAGCCGTGACTACTGGGGGAGCGAGACTGGGTGCACGGTCTCGTTCCAGCTCCCTCGCCTGAGCATCCAGTCTGGCCTGAGGGTGGAGAGTGTCCCTGTAGATGGAGGTGGGGAGGAGAGGTGTTTTCTGGGGGAAAGGGGTCAGTGGAGCCGCTCACCCTGGAAGTGAGGTTTAGGTAGCTGCCCCCTCAGGGCCCGCGGCTGGAGGACAGCCCTGTGGGGCCGGGGTGGCAGGAGGAGGCAGTCCAGCCTTGGCGCCAGGCCCTGGCTCTGCAATCCACTCTCAGCAGGTGACTGGGGAAATGTGGCCCACCCTGCAGGATCCTGTGACCCAGAGGTGATTTATGGAAAGTGCCCACAGGGTTTACTCATTCAACCAGGATTCGTTGGGCACTTGCTGTTGGTGTAGGCACTGGAGAGAAACAGGGAACCAGAACCCCGGGCCCTGCTCTTCAGGAGCTGACGTTCTGGTGTGAGGAGACAGGTGGGGGCACATACACACACACTCAGTACTCCAGAAACTCACAGAAGGTGCTAAGGTGCACATGGGGAACAAAGCCGGTGGGCGGGTGCTGCTGTAGCTGAGCCATCAGCCAAGACGCTTGGAGTAGGCACCTTAATTCAAGATGAAGTTGAAGGTGGGCCGGAGCCTCCCAGGGGCTGGTCGGTGTTGGGACAGGGCTAGTGCTTGAGGACTGGAAGCAGCTGCTGAGGCCCAGGCCTGGCGGGGGAGGGGTCGGGAGGGGGCAGAGGCCAGCAAGCAGGAAAGGACAGGTCCTGAGGGCTCTGAAGGCCAGAAGAAGGAGCTCACCATGAAGCCTCTGGGAGGTTTGGAACCAGGGAAGCAAAGCTTGGCACAGGGCATCTGGAAGAAACAGGGTTTCTCCTCTGTGGAAGGAAGGGCCATGGAAGATTTCTGGCCAGGGTGTCTCCAGCAGCTTTGGGCTGGGGCTGGGTCCGCGGGCAGCCCCTGGGGGTGCAGAGGGGGAGGGATGGAAGGGCAGGGAAGGAAGTAGGGGAGTAGACTGGGGAAGGGCCCGAGGGTATGGGCTGGGGGTGGGTGGGTGAGGCGGTTGCTTTCCCTGGGGGCTGCAGGGCAGGCCGGCGGGGGGGGGGGTTGGCTGGCAGCTGGTTGGACACAAAGCTGGCTCGACTGGGGAGCAAGGGATGCCAAGATGGCATAGTGGGAGCCTCGGGGCTGTGAGGAGGGGGCTTCTGGTGCACAGAGAGAGAGGGACTTGTTACACAAAGCTGGGGAAAGCAGTATGGACAAATAATTCCACGTTGTTGCCATTCTGGGTCCTCACTCCGTGGTGGCTACGATGTGTTTATATACACGGACAGCCTCCGACTTACGATGGTTCGACTTTATGA